TTAATTTACACAGAATGCTAAATAAAGCAAAATAATATTACAAACACGCAAAGGTTCATAATAAACTTATACGGTACAATACAATACGATACGATACAATATACTAGCTAATATTGTTGAGGTAAAAAAAAAAATCACATTAGATTCATAATTATGGTGGAAAGAATATTTTTAATTTTGGTGGAGTTGCTCACATCTCATTTGCATACATGTTTGTATATATTGTGCAGTTCTTATTCCTGAACAATATTTCATAATTGCCTCAAATTTTTCCTGTTCATTTAACTTACTAAAATTTAATATAATTTCCTTTCAGTACTTCAATAATTCAATTCAGTGTGTATTGTAAAGACTGCAATTCATAAGAAATGTATTTCATCTTCAATCTGCTTTTATCACAGTATTTACAGACTCTTTCATTCCTTGAAGTTTTGCAATGCCTGCCAGTTCAAATATGAAGTTTGTGATCAGAGATTCTGACCTGGCATAGCGCGTGTCTCAGTTTAATGTTAATCATTGTTGTTAAATATTTTTCCATTTTAAACTGTGTTTTGAATGTTCTATAATTTGCCAATTTGTTTGTTCCACCATTTGCTCTGTTGTCATCAAATAGAGCTTTTTTACATTTTATCATATATAATTCTCTTTCAGTAAAGCAGAGATAGTCTTGGTTTGGAGTGGTTTCATCTTTTTTATTTGTTGTTTTATTGCATTATTAAGATTGTTGTCACCGATTATTTTGTCGACATTTTTTGACCACCCAGTTTTTACTGTATTGGCCTCATCAAAGGTGCTTTTTATCAACTTGGGCGTCTCTGGGAGTTTTGATCTGAACAAGAATTTAATTATTTGTGTGTTAATTTTCATGGCAAGAGGGTATCTTCCTAATTCCCCTAAGATTGCAAGCTTAGTAGCATTCTTTTTAACCCCCAAGAGTCTTCTTCAGAAATAATATCGCTATTTTTAATGACTTCCTCTCTCCATACTTCACACCCATAGCTAACACCCACCCCTGAAAACAAACTTTTAATACCATGTTGAAGCGTTTTGGGCAGGACTCCAGAAGACGTACCTACACTTTATGCATTTTTTTTTAAATTATGCTATTTTATTCATGACGTAGCAGTTTGTGCTCATGAATATTCATTAATTTACATTCTAAAAAGGGCGATATTATTATTTTTTGGGGAAGAGCTAGAAAGGGGGATTAGCAATCCTTAGGGGGTCAATACAAAAGAAGGGATCCATTTGGAGAGCAGCATTGCTCCTTGTGTCTGTTGTTGTTGCACGTGACTTGCAGCTTTCAACTGTCTTCGTACTTTGACGACCCCCTCGGCTTCAACTGGCTTCCATGTGAGGTAGTATTCTTGTGTTCTGTTTTTTCTGACTTGAGTTCTTGATATACAGAAGTTGATGTTTATGTTTTTAACATCTTTCATATCTTGTCTTGTAGGAGTGTCCAGTCCGTGATTTGAACTTGCAATCTTTGAGTTCCCAGCGCACTGTCTTGTCCACTGTACCACGAGTGTCTTCACACAAGTGATAGGATTTAAGTCCTATTTATAGGAGCACTGTTCTCACTAGCATTCAAAAAGGGTACTAACCATACTGGATTCGAACCAGCAATCTCTCACATTGCTGACATAGTACATATCCACTGAACCGTGTGTGTAGTCATGCAAATAAATTATTTGTTGTCATATTTAGCTTTATTGCAAATTAGTGTTTTGTAAGCATATAATACTAAATCATATAGTATTGTCGTGGATGCTTATCCACTTGTGTTTTTCCTCATTGATTCATATTTGTTCTTTTTTATTCAGTTTTATTCTTTCGTATTCGTAATTTAGTTATATTATCAGATCATGTTTTGCTTTATCTATTCGTCTTTATTTTGTTCAATTACATGCTATATTAGCTGAGATACAACAATTGAAAGTTGTTACATGCCTGAAACTATACCGTAATGCATGTATCTCTATTGTAAAGAAACACAGATTCGGTTTACAAAGCCATTTAGTAATAACTGCTATCAGCACGAAAGCAATAGGAATCAGTTGCAAGGTCGATTTTAAGCTGATGTGCCAATATTGAAAACCTATTACTGTGTCTCCCTCTTACTTTAATCCATAGGTGTGAATCCTACTGAACCCTATAAAAGGGGCATTCTATCGTGTATTTTTCAGTTGCATCCTTGTTACATTGTAGTTCCTTTGTTGTAACACTGTACGAATAAATAGTGTATTGTTTAAATGTACATTACGCTTCCTTTATTGTAACTCTACGATCCAATGCATGCAGTTTGAACCTGATCGAATATGAGCGAATATCACCCACAAGTATCACAGAGTAACTAAACTGGATGATGTCAACGTGTTCAAATTACCATAGCTCATTTAAATTTGTTATTGAACGTAACATGGAAAAGTCTTGCTGATGTTGTAGTCCGATCTTTTGGCTTGGATTTTGATGGGAAAACGGCATATTTTTTTTTTAAATCAAAAAATTAGTTGTTTTCAAAAAATAAATTAAGCATTCGAAGAATAATTTAACATTGATTACAGTGGTAACTGCTCATTGTCGAAAGTAAGCTTACCCATTCGGGCAGTTATTCACGCTAGTCTAGTAGACACAATAAACATCATACTCTTGAATAGGCGTCAATAACTACGGTAAAACTTACTCAATTTTAGGCGTCAGGAATGAATGAAATGTATGAAAAATGATGTCAAAATACACCTTGAAAGTCCCATTTTATTTTTTTTAAATCTCATTTTATTTTTTAATCTAATATGCCGTTTGACCTACATATTTTTTTGAATTGCCATTCATTTAATTTAATCGCCATGACGACCTAAATGGTCGCAATCTGGATGACTGCATACAGAGTATGTTACAAGTAGAAGATTGTATATTCTAGCATGCTGTGGAGAAGTAGAAAAAGAAACTGTGGCTGATACATTGAACTGAAAATACTAAAAAATTTGCTAAAAGTTACAGCTAATGTCCATTTCAGTATTTATGCACAGTATGTGACTACAAACCCACTATTATATTTTGGGAAGTTCACCTTTATGAATAATTTTGGAATAACAACGCTAAATGCTATGAAAATTAGCTTGTATGTTTTGTCATTGGTATCAGTTTTCAAAATGAACCCAACATGGTGTCATACATCTAATTGAAACCTTTGAGTTTGTAGAGCTGAGAGAAAGTTTGTTATTTTCATGCACCATTTGAGTCATTTCCTTCATATACCCTTTCAGTATGCGTCCCAGTTGCAAACTTCACCAGTCGCCACACTCCCTGGGTCTGAATCATTCACATCTTCTGTCTCAGAACCCTCCAGCTTCAATACTTTCCAGAAACTGCAAAGCTCCGAAAACCATGGAAACATACAGAAAACCATCAATCATAATTTTAGGCACTAGTTAAAGTATTATACATGTAATTGTAGCCAGAGAATTTATCAATGCAGCAGTTAATGTAATCCCCTGAGCAATACAGCCAAACAAAGTGGGGTTACTCGACAGAGTTGAAATTTGGTCCGCGAGTGGGGCGATCACCCCATTTAGTATCCCCAGCCTGTTGTACTCATGATTTATTAGGTACAGTGGAATGTGATCTACCTATATAGACAAAGCAATGAGGTGACCCCCCCCCCCTCCCTCGTTGACATGTTGGCACCCCCAGCAATTTGACGAGCAGACGATGAAATGAGGTCAGTCACACCTTGGACATAAAATAGAACACTTGAGCTGGTTGAATATTCAAAATATTCTGATAAAGGTACAATTCCCATGTTGAGGCTATCATGGATGAAATACTCTGGTCCTCATGTTTTGGGATTTTTTTTCCTGCACCAGGGATGAGTCAAGAACATTTCATGAGAATTATTTCCAAATCCCATATTACTCCGGGGGTGGGGTGGGGGATCGGTAACTGATTGGCTGATTTCCTGATGGTCGGTGACAGACTGTATATCAGATACATGAACAACGGCCATGTACAACATTACATGTATAAGAATGGGACGTCCTGCTAGCCTGTTCGCTTCAAAAATTGGAATTGAGATTTCTCTGCAAGTTTCGTAAAATGGTGGTTGAAACTTTGTAGAAATGAAATTGAACCTGAACCTGAACCTCACTGATCGCGGCATATTACACAGCATAACTTGGTGATTTTGTTGAGAAAACGGGTAAAATACTCATCGTCGCTAATACTGCTTTTGGAGGCAGCCATGTATGTTCAAAGCTTGAGTTCTCGATGTCAAAACTAGTGGATTTCATTCCTGCAGCTAAGCTTTTCCTGACCAAGCTATACTGCACGACGTCAAAGCTGTGATTTTCATTAAAAAGCTACACTTTCATTGGTACCCCTGTTAATGACGTCTTCCTCACCCATCACACCATGACCCAGTTTCAACCACACGGCCATTTTGCAACGACCTTTGGCGTGACCCGACTGACTATATGATCGTTCTGTTCAACTGTTAAGCTAGGATTTATTACCGTTATTATCATTATATTGTCACGTGATTTGTTTTACCTTATGTGTAATGTCTTAAGTATCTTTATTGTAATTTGTATATACCAATTCGTATATACCAAGGAAACAACCCCGATTGAAGGTCATGTATTTTGTGACGTCACCAATTCGTGTGTAGGTACGGCTTCTAGAACCGTGCCGCGTTTGGTAATAACAAAAAATAACTGTATAATTACAGAATTAATTATATCATAATAACGTTTCATTTGATAACGCTATAATTACGTTTTCAATCACACACACAAACACACACACACACACAGACACAGACAGACAGACAAACAGACAGACAGGCAGGGTAACTGCAAAGACTCCCATTGTGTGCTTCGCACACAGGAGACAACAAATACTGATCAGCTCAGCTGTCAGTAAATATTATCCAATCAATATAACAATATACCGGTACAAAAACAAATCGAAATACAGTTATTGGAAATGTATCTCGTGCTTACCTACGTTGCACCGCTTTTGCCAGACCAAATCAACTGCGACAGATTCGTTAAATTGTTTGCACACCGACGCAGCCCTGGGTAGATCGACACCGGGTAAAAAAGATAGTAAATAAGTGAGAAGTTCGGGAGGAAGAGATAAAATAGTCGCCATCTTGCGGTTAGATCACGTGACTCAAATGCATGTTCCGAGATGTTGTACTTCTCGAACGAAGCAGGTTACACATTGACTGAAAGATGTACAATATTACACGGATGTCGTTCCATAACCGGCAGCACTGACAAATACCCATTTTAAGACAGCTTGATTTTTTTTGTTTCTTCCACATTTCGACATGAAACGCGAGATTTGAAGAGCGCCACTTGTGTTAACAAACGTAAATTCTTTCAGTCCGATCAAAGAACAGGTGACAGTTTTGATCGGAGAGCGCTGTTGTTATTATGTTATTGTAGGAAGTGTAGGCGTGTACTCAAAGGTTCATCACATTGGTGAGTTATTTTTTAGTGAAAGCTAACTTTCTTCAAAAAAAATCACTTTTGGCTGCCTCAGTGGTCGTCCTGAAAGACCTTTTTGTTGCCTTCTACGCAAATTTATTCTTGGGAGAAAACCCGGTCAGGCGATCGACGAACACTGACAAAATGCGGTCATCGGCATTCACGAAGGGTTCATACATGGGGGGTTTGCGCGAAGGGGTTCATATGTGATACTTGCGACAAGATTTTCCCATATTTATCCAAACATTTTCTTGATTTGCGGTTAAGAATAAAGGAGTTGATTGTGAAAAAAATGCATACTTCCCACAATGCACCGCTGTATTCAGCCATATTTATCTGCAAGGTATTCTGGGAAGGCTAGTCATTGATATGCAAATTGTTGTGACAAACACTGAATACATTTACTAATGGTTTAATAAAAATCAGCTTTTGTTGGATGTTGTAACTCAGTTTGAGTTTGCCAATTAATTTGAATGTTAAAGAGTTCCACATGTCATCGCTTTAAAGTCACATTTAACATAAGTAATATTTTTTAATGATTATTTTTTTAATCACTGTTCAGCTATTTAAGTTTTAAGTAAATATTTTTGTATGATGTATGTATGCCAGCTATAGTTTTTTAATTGAATATTAATTAGACTTGATAGTTTTTACTACACATGTATTGCAACCACCTATTGTATAGGATATCTCAACAGTTATTAAAGAATACCAGATTTATTAAACAAATATAGTAATTTGTATTTTTTCTGAGCCTTAGAAAATTGCTACACAAGTTTAATAAATTTGATAGTCTCGGATCACAAATTTGAAATCCTGTTTATCCAATTTATTTATTAAATCACAGACTTTTAAACACACAAACTGTCAGTTTACACTTATGCAATTATGAAATAAGTTTGTTTTTTGAGCTATATTTATGGTTTCGAATATGTTTTGTTAGTATCATTATGTAACTGAAACTTACGATATTGATTTTGTCTTAAATTCTTGGAAAGTTTTTTTTATTGGTATTCTGATTGATTGTGCAGTTAATGTAATAACGGTGTCACATCATCAGGTAATAGGTATAACATTGAAATTGTGGCCCTGTATTTCCTTCACTGAATTGAACTATGGACATCAACTAAGTCTGAAGTGAGAAATTGTTTCAAATTGCCATACTAGAAGTAGGGTATAAAATGAAATTTTGTTTAAGTCACTCACGTTTTGCACTCGTGAATTGAAAAAGGAGTTTTCATTTTATACTACATGTATTAATTCTGGGTTCTCTGGTTGCTTAGCAACATCTGTACCATGTACATGAGGGGGAATCATTGAACGTTCATGTACTTCCAGTTAGCAGGAATAAGCAGATATTCTACTACAGCAGCTTCAGTTTCATACTGAACATATTAATTCTGTATTGTAGATATAAAGTTAATTTTTAAGAACAACCAATATATGTGTATAAGAATGTCAATAATTATACCATAGTGATTATTTATGACAATGAAAATCCAATAATCATAAAAAATTAACAAATTATCATAAGCAACTGGGCATTTTGTGCCAGGTTAGGTTCATTTTAAGGTTGTATTTTTTTTAAATTTAAATTGGTTTGTTCCCTTGTGCATTTGAGCCAGGATATTTTTGCAGAGAAATTCTGAGTTCACTGATCTCAACTCTGAATCAAGAGATGATTGACGATGTGAACTTTGTCAATTAGTTCATTTGCCAGAACTCCAATCTCAGTTGCTGTCATCAGAAATACAATCATATCAGTTCATAATCTGTATAAAGTCATAGAGTCATGTGTGGATTTACAGGAATAAATGTATGGACAATAAAAACTAGGTCACATGACCAAGAATGGTATAATTGTTATAGCCTTGTGCACTATATTACCTATGTGGCACGGATTTCCAACATAAATGGGGAGTTTCAGCAAAAATAATAGATTCTAGATCCAAGTTGTGCTTACATATAACTTTTATTGACTGAGTTTCACGTCGTCGAGCAGGGAGAGCAATACACAATAGGTTCACATGAAATAAAAACAAAAGCAAAAATAAGCATCGATAATACACTGGTTGTAAGAGTTAAGTGTGCGTTGTCATAACAACCACTAATAATGGCGGCCCACGATTTCACACAATCACATTCATTACAAGTAACTGCACTATAGCGAAACTTATATCCCAAGTTGAGTAATAAGTGACTGGTACTGAAAACTGAAAACAACATAAAAAGCAAGTATCACAAAGCGAAAAAAGTTAAATGTCTATGAAAGCTAGCGTTCGACAGCTTCATTGATAACACAGTACAGCGTGTAGCGGCGATGGCATCATGACTTCTAAGAATAACGATTAAATGATAGAAACTGAACAGAAATAACTACAATCTCGTCAAGTCAATTCCTTGAAACATAATGTACAAATACTGAAAGGCTAAATTACAGATGCAAATAATGAAAGCGAAATAGAACAGGGGTGGACTATCTGTTCTATATGATTGTACAGGGAATTATTCTGTCCCGTTGCGGTATACTCAATCCTTACGTTTTGGTATTGTATACACAAATTGCTTAAAAGCTTGAATTGTCAGTTATCAGTAAAATGAATGCTAGATTTTCAATGAATGTCCAAGTTAAGATGACCCAGAATGTGATAAACTATTATTTTTTTATCCACAGTGAATCACAGATGCAGAAAACATGACAGAAATTGAAACTTTATCCCATATGGATGAGATGAAAAACTCATCATTGTCTAGCAGAGAAGTGGCTAGCTTGGCAACTAAATGCGACAATCCTAATCATTGTAAATCCGCTGAAGAAATGAACGTTGATGACAGTTCCAGAGAATATGTCAGTGATGACCAAGTTGATAGTGATAGTGATATGATGAAATTGGATAATGATAGTGATTCAGCAAGATGTATGAACAATGTGGCTGGAGTAAAATGTCAAACATCTTTACTATACAATGATGCTAATGACTTGCCTGATACTGAATCTGGGAAGCAAAGTATTGAGATCAAGACCATAGTTCCTGAGAATGAATCTGTAAAACATAGTATTAAGAGCAGAATTGGTGAATCAAGTGCAGCAGATTCAGTTCTACATATTAAGAATGTGAACAATGACTCAGACACTTCCAATAATGGAAAAACGAAAAGAAATGTACCATGGAATATGGATAAAGGGACCAAGAAGTGTCAGAATTTCAGAACAAATTTTTCAACTAGAAATGGAAATACAATTGTTGATGAAACACCTGTTGTAGGTCTTTCAGTGGATAAAGTAAAGTGTATGTTCAAGGATCTTAATCCCAAATCATCTGATTTTGAACAATTGCTGTGGGATTTAAATATCATTTCTTTACATACTGCATATGGCTTGCTTCATGGAGTAATTTACTACAATTGCGTGATATTTGGCACTGGCAATTCCGATGATCATCAAGCCATCTGTGCATGCTGCTTTAAAACTGGTCTAGACAAACAAATTGGATATGTTGAATATCCCACTCATGAATGCAGCTATATTCGAAAGTCAGACCTAGATTGTGATGTCACCAAAAGAAGATATGATGTATCCTTAAAAGCTGTTGGTCTGTATGATAAATATATGACCTATATCCCAAAACTTGGTTCGTTTTATCGTCATCCACTGCCAGGTCAAACTATTAACTTTTCCCTCCAGGCTATTGAACCATGTATAGTGCATGATTTGTGTCATGCAGTGATGCAGTTACCTTGGAAACTCTATCAAAAGAAACATGTAAGATTTTTTTTTATATAAAATGGGACTTTTCTTGAGGGTCGGCAAGGGGTGTTTTCGTAAGCTGTATGTAATCAATTGTTTATATTTTCGTAATAATGCAATTTAAATAAATAAAAAATGTAAATCGTAGACATGGGCAAAGGTGTAAAATCAGCTATTTTATTCGTTCATAATTTGTACTACAAAGATATTATTTTTTATAAACATATAAAGCATTTTCCAAATGAAATATTGTAATTCATATGCAATTTCCAATTTTGATTCTTAAAACACATACTAGATTGGCTGTACTTGTACATGGTGGTCTTCCCTCAGTCACATACTGGATTGGCTGTACTTGTACATGGTGGTCTGCCCTCAGTCACATACTAGATTGGCTGTACTTGTACATGGTAGTCTGCCCTCATTCACATACTGGATTGGCTGTACTTGTACATGGTGGTCTGCCATTAGTCACATACTGGATTGGCTGTACTTGTACATGGTGGTCTGCCCTCAGTCACATACTGGATTGGCTGTACTTGTACATGGTGGTCTGCCCTCATTCACATACTGGATTGGCTGTACTTGTACATGGTGGTCTGCCCTCAGTCACATACTGGATTGGCTGTACTTGTACATGGTGGTCTGCCCTCAGTCACATACTATATTGACTGTACTTATACATGGTGGTGTGCCCTCATTCACATACTGGATTGGCTCTACTTGTACTTGGTGGTCTGCCCTCAGTCACATACTAAATTGGCTGTACTTGTACATGGTGGTGTGCCCTCAGTCACATACCAGTTGGCTGTAATGGTGTGCTCTCAGTCACATACTAGATTGGCTGTACTTGTACTTGGTGGTCTGCCCTCAGTCACATACTATATTGACTGTACTTATACGTGGTGGTGTGCCCTCATTCACATACTGGATTGCTCTACTTGTACTTGGTGGTCTGCCCTCAGTCACATACTAAATTGGCTGTACTTGTACATGGTGGTGTGCCCTCAGTCACATACCAGTTGGCTGTAATGGTGTGCTCTCAGTCACATACTAGATTGGCTGTACTTGTACTTGGTGGTCTGCCCTCAGTCACATACTAGATTGGCTGTACTTGTACATGGTGGTGTGCCCCAGTCACATACTATATTGGCTGTACTTGTACATGGTGATGTATTCTCATTCACATACTAGATTGGCTGTACTTGTACATGGTGGTCTGCCCTCAGTCATACACTAGATTGGCTGTACTTGTACTTGGTGGTGTGTCCTCAGTCACATACTAGATTGGCTATAC